GGGCGAGGCCCTGGGTGTGGGGCACGAGGGGCCGCGGTCCCGGCTGGTGCTGCCCTGCGCCCGGCCGCAGGACGCGGGGGAGTTCGTCTGCGACGCCGGCGACGCTTCTGCCTCCTACAACGTCACGGTGGCAGGTGGGTGACATGGCCGGGATGTCCTGCCAGGAAAGTCCGCGCTGCCCCTGCTCTGCTCCATGTGGTCCCCAGCTCTGCCTCCCTGCCCTTAGCGTCACAGGGGAGAGCTTGCAGCTGTGTTGCTGCAAGCCCCCTGGTGTTCGGGGGCGGTTGTGCGAGTGCATCCACCTCCTGCCCTGCTGGGCTCCAGCGCTGCCCTCGAGCAACTCTCTGCCCTTCCTGGGTGAGTATGTGCACCATCAGCTGGGTCCCTGCTCCAGGAACTGTCACCGCTACCCTGCCCAGTGGGACGGGGGTTTCTGGCGGTGCGCCTGGGGCACCCCGCTGCGGTCCCACTGCATGGCAGGTGTTTGCAGCAGCCTGCAGCCTCCCTGGCCTCGTAACCATGTAGGGCAGGTGACAGGAATGCTGGGGACAGCAGAGCCTGAAGGACGTGCGGAGAGCAGGTCTCACTCCCTTCCTCTGTGTCCCTGGCAGAGCCACGCGTGAGGATCCTGCACCCGCTGAAGCGCTCGCTGGTGCTGCCAGTGCTGGCCCTGGAGCCTGTGGAGCTGAGGTGCGAGCTGTCTGTGCCGGACGCTCCCGTGCGCTGGTTCAAAACTGGGCTGGAGGTGGATGAGAGCGACAACCTTCTGCTGCGGGCAGAGGGGGCCTGGCGCCGCCTCATCATCCCAAAGGCCAGCGCAGAGGATGCGGGCGAGTACATCTGCGAGAGCAGGGATGAGGCCGTCTCCTTCGATGTCCGCGTGTCAGGTAAGCTGGGAGCCAGGCCCCACTGATGGGGGTCCCAGCCACAGGGCTTTCCCAGCCTGGGCGAAAGGACTTGCTCAGGCTGCTCCCCGGCTGGCTGTGGAGCTGCTGCTCGCTCTTCGCCACGTCCCTTCTTGCAACAGGAAAACGTAGAGACTTAAGCGCTGTGCCTGCATCCCCGTCCAAACAGCAGGTACCTGCCTGCAGTGTGCAACGAAGGACCCCGCACTCAGGTGGGATGTGGCCCCTGCTGGCTCCCACAGCCTGTGCGCTGTGCATGTCCCATACAGGACTCTCCACAGCCTCTGTGTCCCCTCTGTCCCCCAATGGTGACACATCCCACGGACACCTCGACAGAAGCCCATGCCCTGCTGCCCGAGTGGTCTCCTGGGTGCACGGGCTGTGTGCCGCCCAGTGTGGCACTCACCTGGGGTTGGCAGGAGAGGCATCTCCTGGGCTGCATGGTCCCTGCACTGCCTTGCACCAGGGCCATGCTCTCCTTGCAGAGCTGCCAGTGAAGATCCTACAGCCACGGAGACCTCCCCCCGTCGTGAAGGCCTCCCCGGGGGAGACGGTGACACTGGCCTGCGAGCTGTCCCGTGCAGATGCACCCGTGTGCTGGGCCAAGGAGGGCATCAGGCTGGAGGCGGGGGGCAGTGTGGTGCTGGAGGAGGAGGGTGCTCACCGGCGCCTGCTCATCCCTGCCGCCCGAGCGGAGCACTCGGGAAAATACGTCTGCAACACTGCTGATGACACGGTGACCTTCACTGTCCAAGTGTCAGGTGAGCAAGTGGCTGGGGAAGAGCCTGGGAGTAGGTGCTTGGGGTGTAGACCTGGAGATCTTGGAGAAGAGGGTGCTGGGCTGGGGGCTGCAGGGTCCCATCAGCTTCCCTGCCATGGACAGTGCTGGGGGGCAGCCCTGAGGACTGCTCTCCATGGGATGGCTCTTCCTCAGAGCCAAACCCTGCACAAGGGACTCCTAAGCCCACCGTTAATGGAGCTCTGCTGGTGTCTGGTGCTGCCAGACCCGCTGGTCAGGATCCTGGAGAGGGACGCTCTGCCGACCCGCCGGCACTGCCAGGCCATGGAGGACCTGGTGCTGGAGGTGCACCTCTCGCACGCCCATGGGGAGGTGAAGTGGTACAAGGACGGGGAGAAGCTGCAGGACACGGGGCGCGTGCGGCTGGAGGAAGACGGGGCACACCGCTCGCTCATCGTCCTGGGTGCGACACGCAGGGATGCGGGGGAATACCTCTGTGACACCCGCGATGACAGCATCATCTTCTGCGTCACCGTGGAAGGTGAGCGGCGCTCTCCTCGCTGCCCGCGTGGAGCCAAAGAGCAGGGCGAGTGCTGAGGGAGGTCCCAGGGCTGGGATGTGTTTCAGTACATGCAGAATGGATGCAGGGGTGAGACAAGGAGCCCTGCAGCCCTCTCTGAGCTGACTGCACCCACTTGGGAGCTCTGTGGAAACCTGTGCATTGCTTCTCTGCAGCTGGAAAAGATCCAGAAAGGATCCAGCCATTGCAGTGGGACTCACGGGTGCATAGGGCGCCTGGTGCAGGAGAGGGACTGGGATGGGTAGCAACAGGAAAAGATGCAATAATATTTCCTCTCCTGCAGGCCCTGCAATATTTTTCTGCAGCCAGAGCTGGCCCTGGCAGCTCAGGGCTGAAGCCAAGAGTTGTTTTGCTCTGTGGGGCAGGTTTTGTTCCTATTTTGCCCTGGAAACGAGGGCCGGCTTGTGGGGCACCCCCAGCCTGAGGACACCTCTCCCTGCACCCCTGGGCTGGGTAGCTTGCATCCGGCGCTGCCAGGTTGTACCCAGTGCAGTGTCATGGGCTGCTGCTCCTGCAGTGACAGCCCTTCTCTCCGGCCCCCAGAGCCACCGGTGACCATCGTAGGGAACACAGGCGCTGTGGAGCATCGCTGCCTCGTGGCCGGGCAGGACCTGGTGCTGGCCTGCGAGCTGTCCCGGCCCGATGCCACTGTGCGCTGGCTCCGGGATGGCCAGGAGGTGCAGCCCAGCGAGCGGGTCCGGATTGAAGCCCGGGGGGCACTCTGGAAGCTCACCATCCTTGGGATGCAGCCCAGTGACTCGGGGTGCTACGTCTGTGATGCTGCTAGTGACCGCATGGTGACGAGCGTGGAGGTGTCAGGTGAGAGGCAGGAGCTCGGCACCCCAGGGAGCAGGCAGTGCTGGGGCCGTGCCCGGTGCTGTCCTCCCCTCGCTCGGGCTGGGGCTTTGCACGGGGACCCCCAGCACGGTGGGGCTGTGCCAGAGCCCTGGGTCCCATGGCAGCTCCATCCAGCCTGCCACACGGGCACCGTGTC